AATTAAATTAAAAATTTTTAACTCTAACGCTAGAGTGACTTATGGGATGTTTGTCTAAGCTTATAAGTTGGTCAAACTAGTTTATAAACTTTAAAATTAAGCTGGCCTGTTTGTTTATAACTTTTTTGAGCTTATAAGTTGAGCTTATAAGCCAAAAAATATAAGTTGAAGGGGAGATAATTTTTTTTTTTTTTTAAGCTTATAAGCACTCTGCTTATAAGCTAGTTTGACCAAGTATATTATGACATTATCTTTGTTTAATTTTAAAATTCTATAGTATACCCTTGTTTAATGTAGTACTATTTTTAATCATTTTATAATAAAATATACTTATATTACTAAACACGTCAACTATTTATCAGTCATTTATAAGTAGTTTAACCAAATATGTAATTACTTAAAATTTCAAATGCTTATAGCACTTGAGCTCAGACAAACACCCCTTTATCCTGGCGACTTCAATTTACACACTAAAAGAAAGTATCTTATATAATTATGGTTAAATGGTATCAGCTAATTAAAATAGCTTGAAATAACCCAAATCTTAAAAAAAAAAAAAAAATTGAATTCATATATACATTTTGAATAATGAATTCTTTTTATAAATAGCTTTTTTCTCAACTAATAAAATGATAAAAAATTAGAAATAAGACAAGCAAGAATGCCAGTTTTCAGATAGCAGTCAGCATCAAGTTTTGTTAACTTAGTGTCTAACTCATTATTTTTATTATTATAGTATTTCCTAGATGAACAGATAACTTCAGTCGTGGCATCATGCTTTTGATTCTTCATATATAATTTTTGTCTCACATATTTGTCCTATATCATGTATTCATGTGCATGTGCTAAAACTTGTCCTGAGCTAAACAACTAAAGTATCTCGATCTTAACAACGCACATGACTTTTCACATGCCTAGCTTGATTGGTATGGAATTAAACTTAATTTTTAAATTTAAATTTTATATATATATATATATATAATACTAGAATCGAAACGGAAATCGAAATTAAAAAAAATCAAGGTTCGGGTAGCTAGGTCTGACTGAGACTAAATTGTAATATTTATAAATTATTGGAAATATATTTTCCCTAGTATAAAAACTATGTACAAGCTGACTTTTTAATTAAATTATTTCTCATTCTCATTCTAAGTTTTATTCCCTTAAAATTTTCAATATAGTATATACATGTGATTGAAAAGAAATTAAGATCTAAAAAAGTTAACAAGAAAGAAGTTAAAAATCTAAAAAAAATGAACAGAACAGATAATGTGTTAGTTATACTTAATAATTAAAAAAAAATTAAAACAATTATTTATAGGGATCCAATGTTATTAATTAAAGACACGAATAACAATGTATTACTGTCTGTTATGCTTTGGTTTTTCGTCCTTGGCAGATAATGTATCCCGTGATGTTTATCATGTTGTTTGTTTTTGACGTTAAGATGCATTGAGCCCTGGTATCAGAAATGGACATACACCCCCTGCCATTACCCAAACATTATAAAATTTCCATTAAGTTTAATAAGTGTTTTTACATTAAGAGTAAAGTTTCCGTTGATGTTGAAAAGATTAAAACTTTAATTTATATTAGTAAATCTAATTTTGAAAATTCAACCTGCATCAGAATCTGGATGGACATGGATCGGGTCGGGGCCAGGGACCCAAGCACCTGAACCTGTCCTCTACACCCACATCCGCATCCAACCCGCCCCTGGGGGTGGGTTTAGGGGGGTATGCTTGTACCTGCCCCACGGGGGATAGGAGAAGCCCGCCCTGCACCCAATTACAATAAAAATGAAAAAAGGTTTATGATTTCAGGAAAGTTAAGGGTCCTTTTGGAATTGTTAAACTTTTAGTAAAACTTTTAATTTCAATATGAAATTAATTAATGTAGAAAAAAAAACGGCTAGGTATTTGGTCAATTTTAAATTTAAAGTTCTTGTGTATTTTTTTCGAAATTAGTATATATGCATTTGATAAATTACATTTAAAAGTGGTATTGTTGATACACTTATTAGAGTCATTTTATTATAATTTTGAGATTATGAACAAATCTCAAAATACAAACAGATAGTAATAATTATGCATCTTATTATAATGTGACATAATTTATAGGAAAAAAACACTTCAAAATGCAGCATTACCAAAGAAGAATTTAAGTTTAATGTTTCAATCAAAATTGAGATATCAATTAATTCAATTCTATATCTAGATATAGTTAATAAGGATGTACTATATTAAAAAGTCTCGTCATTTAAATTAAACAAATTATTATATATAATAATTTATTTAAGTAGATGGGTGTTAACGAATTTCAAAGTTAAAAGAATCACATTTTTGAATTAACAGAATCAATTTAAGTTGTTACAACAAAATGATTATACAATTTAAATATGGATTAGGTTGGGAAGGCAACTTTTCAATTATTCACATTTTTTACCATAGTAATAGTTACAAAAATATGAACTAATTTGCCGGATGATTATAATTCTATGAAAATTTTAAAACAAACACACTTTTACATTGAAAAACTCAAATAGAAATTTAGAACTATAGTATTAGACTATTAGTAAACTACGTCTTTAAGAACTGAGACAGATGCGGGTGCAGGATGGGCCCGGTTACAAATTTTCCTTTTTTGCACCAACAATCGCACCCGCCTCAGCCAGTCTTGCACCCGGTTACAAATTTTCCTTTTTGCACCCACAATCGCACCCACCCCTGGTTTTTTCGGGAAAACCCACCTCGTTCAGGACGGGGTGGGGCAGGTCCCCGACAGGGCAGGCTAAACACCCATCCCTACGTCAAATTTTAGGATTGATAATGTTTTGGTAACGTCATACCCGATACCCGAGGGGTTTAATTTATAGGGTAAATATTAGGGGGTTTACAGTTACTATCCCATGTCATTACCCTACATGGTGTTTTTTTTCTTATCTTGAACCTGATGCGACGACATGGCTTTTCACATGCCTTTTCCGGGTTTTCTTCATCTGTTATAGTCAAAGTCTCGACAGCTGGACAAAATTTACTAATCATTTTTAAATTCACTTTGGATAGATCCCTTTGAGACTGAACTAATGATAAAGCAACCTAATGTTGGGGTGGTGTTGAAAGTTTTTTGCACACTGGAGTATACTGTAGTCAAATATTAGTCATGCGATAACGCCATTCAGGTATTTCTTCCTGCAACTTTTTACTTGAGGTATCTCTGATCAATTTTTCGGAATCATTAGTATTGTATGTGTGAGTAATGCATGCATATATTCACTATCAGTCTTCATAGATAATACCATGGTATAGCAGTGACTTCCAACTTTAAAAGAGACCTATGTATTTCATATTATTATGTTCCAATACTATTTAATTTCAATAGTGAATCATTTTTGTTTGATCAACAGATTGAATTACTCCCACTCCCAAATATTAACATATTAAACGACAAAAAAAAGATTCTAAATATTAATTATTGGTAGCTCACAGCCTTAAAATTTTAAGTTCTTATGTCTTGAAAATTTTAAGATGTCTTCATCCCAAAAAATTAAAAAAAAAAAAAAATTCATTTACATTTGTTCGTCAACTCATAAATGAATTAACTCTATAAATATAAGTTGATAAGAAGACATGAAGTTTTTTCTTTTACCTAAGATTCTAATTGTTTATGAATTCATTTTGCATTTTATGAAAATATAAAATATATATTCAGAAAATGAAAAATTACTTGATATGTTTGTCTAAAAATAGTATATTGGAAACGATAAAATGAAAAGGTGTTCTTCCTTTAAAGATATTTTCATAAAAATGAATAATTTAAATATATTTTTAATCATATTTTTTATTAACTTTTTTATTTAATTAATTTTAATAATTAATAAATTTTAGTTTTATTAATTATCAATTAAATTATTACTATTCTAAGCACTCTTTTTTCCTCTAGTGATAAAAATTGCACAGCTTTTTACATGACAACACTTTAAACACTAGCTGACGGCCTTTAGGTAAATGCATCTATCTACTTATTCTCAAAACGTCTATAGTGAAAGCAAGAGTTGCAGTTATGAAGTCATTCAATTTTAATTACCTACCCGATTCTAAAAAACTCTGCCCTTTGCCTTGTTTTGTTTGTAGTTTTCCGAAGAATGACGATTATATTGGATTAGGTGAGTATTCCTATTAAGAATACAATTCATAAATATCTCCTATTAAGAATAAAATATCTCTATATTTTACTTTAATAGAAATATAGAGATAATAAGATTCAGACAATTATTGGATTAGGTAAGTATTCCTATTAAGAATAAAATATCTCTATATGAAACTATACATATAGGCGTGAGAAATTAAATATCGGTTGTGAAAGAAGAAAGGGTAATTCAAAGTATGTTCTCTAATGCGTAGCTTGATATTTTGTATTAATTCTAGAACATTTTCATAAGCAATATTTAATGTTTATACACGTGACCAAAACAAGGCAAATTAACCGTAAAAAGGGTATATTTGTTGTAGCTAGAAAATAACAGTAACTTGTCTAGTGAAAGAATAATTATGGTCTCTCTTTTTGTAATAAGATGTGAGAAAAGTAATTTAAACATTTGGATTGACAAAATTATGGTGTCTCTTTTTGTAAACTTTGAGAGTTATTTATTAAGTTGAACGTAATTTCCTGACATATATCTTTGATGAGAAGAAAGAAAAATCGGGAAGAAAAAAGTTGAAAATTTATAGGAGTTATTTCGCAATTTATTTTTTAAAATTAATTTATATGTAAGTATGTACTGAAATTTTATGTATTCGTTTAGACCTTATAAGGATTTGCTTTAGTTTACGTTTATAAGGATTCGCACTTTGTAGAATATAAAAATGCATGGTAAAAATAATTAGAATTCAAGGGAGAGACACTTCAACTAACCAATGAATATTATATCATCATATGTGTACGTATTCGTAGCATGCCTTATAACCAAAACAAATCGACCTCGTTTATTCAGGAGAAATGGACCCAAAAAGTGGAAATTCAAGTCTTGAATCAACGGAAGTTCATACGTGTATTCGTAGCAAAATCGATCACGTTTATTCAGGTGAAATGGACCCAAGTAATGGGAATTTGAATCATGAATCAACGGAAGTTCCAATAGATATGAATCAGCAGCAGCAAAATCTGGAACGAAGTGAACAAACTATTCAGTGGTTACCTTCCCTTCATTTGTTGACTGGTTAGCTCTCTCTCAAAACAATGAGACATATTTTAATTTTATATGTAATGTTCATCCAAATTATTTTTTGATTTTGAAGATCGGAACCCACGTAAGGAAGAATTACGTTTGCATCTTCTTAAAGCTGCAATAGAGGGAAATATTGATGCAGTTAAAAGTCAGTTCAATAATCCTCTGTTCAGTAATTCTTCATCAAGCTCATCAAGTGCGTCTTCTTCATCAAGCCCATTAAATGCCGCTTCGCCACCAAGCCCATTCAATGTTGCAATAACAGAGAAACATGAAACTATTTTCCATGTAGCAGCAGGAGCAAATCAAACTGACTTTTTAGAGAAGATGATTGATGAGATAGCAGCAGATGACCTCAAGTTGCAAAACGTAAAAGGGAACACTGCCTTCTGTTTTGCTGTTATGGCTGGGAATATATCAATTGCTGAGAAAATGTTGAAAAAGAAACGAGACCTGTTGACAATCCGAGGTGGCGGTAATTTGACTCCGCTAAATCTAGCTGCTATGTTTGGAGAAAGAGAAATGGCGATATATTTATACCGGCAGTATTATAGAGGAACACTGACATTAGCCGACAAAAAACAATTATTGTTTGATAGCATCGATACTACTTTGTACGGTAAGTGTTCACGTATTTCTTTTCTTGCTTGATTTTAATCATCCATTTTCTGTTTGAATAAAATAAGTGAAAGCACGTAATTTGGTTAACATCTGAATTTTTTGGTAAATGAATCAAAGCAATTTCTATTATTTTCTCGTATCTACTTCTGAATTTATTTATTATTTTGAACATATTGTATCATTTAGACATACTTACAATATATACTGTCCTTGCTTACTAAATTGTGGGCTACATGTGCTAAAAATATTTGGGTGAGCTTCTTAGATCTTGCAAGGGAATTGCTAGAAGATGAAGATGATAATGAAAATGAATTGGCTATGACTGAATACGAGCATGGCAACAATCTTTTGACACCCTTGCATCGGTTGACTTTAACGCCCTTTCATATGTTGGACCAAAATCGCAGAAGTAAAGAAACAGTCTTATCAAATAGAGTTTTAGAGTCTGTGAAGTGTCTTTGGGAGAAAATATTAGAGATAAGAAAGAGCAAAAGTGACAGAACAACTTTAATAAATCAAGCTCTAGCGTTAGTCGAATGCCTTTGGAAGAAAATATTCAACACAAAGCGCGACCAAGTTTGGGATTACTTAAAAGAGCATCGTGATTTACTGTTCACAGCAGCCCAATTGGGAAACTTCAAATTCTTGGGTAAACTCATTAAACTTTATCCTGATTTGGTTCATCTTAAAGATGCTGACGAACAGACCATATTTCACATTGCGATTATGCATCGTCATGATGATTTGTTTAAGTTAATAAATCATATAGGTTTCAACAAACATGTTGTAGCATCATATGTAGACATCAAGGAAAATACTTTATTACATTTGGCTGCAACATATCCAGATCCAAGACCAGTAAGCATGGAAAATAGTTTATTACATCTAGCTGCAAAATATCCTGGTCCAAGACCACTGAGCAAGGAAAATATTCTATTACAACTAGCAGCAAAATATTTAGATCTAAGACCACTGAGCACGGTGTCAAGTGCAACTCTAGAAATGCAAAGAGAGTTACGCATTTTTAAGGTAAATACTTTTAGAACTTCTTTTGTGTCTTATTATTTAATTATCATTATTTTATACCTTTACCTAGAGAATTACAAATTATTGATGACTTTTGATTAGAGTTTTAGTTAAAATATATATCTTATGATTATAATTTGACTTTTTTTTTAATAAAAGTAATACTAAAGATAGAGTTGAATTGTAATAGTAATGAATTTGTAATTAAAAAATTAAGCTACCAACTTCTTTGTGTAAAATTAATGATTCATATTAATGATGTAGGATGTTGAAAAACTTGTAATGCCTTCATTTAGAGAATTGAAGAATTCAGAAGGCAAAACACCTCGAGAGCTCTTCACTAGTACACATGCATGCTTACAGAAAGACGGAGAAAAGTGGATGAGGAGCATAGCTAGTCAATGCTTGCTTGTTGCAACAATCATTGCTACTGTGGTTTTTCAACCGGCTTTCACTGTACCAGGAGGTAACAATGATAATGAAGGAAGGAAAATTGTGCTTCGTATATTTGCTATGGCAAAAGTGATTGCATCATTTTCCTCTTCGATTTCAATTCTAACGTTCTTGTCTATTCTTACATCCTGTTACGTAGAAAATGATTTTTTGATATCACTACCGCTTAAGTTGGTGGTGGGATTGTTAATGCTATTCCTATCTATAGGAACCATGATGCTAGCTTTGATTTTAAGCATTTTATACAGCTTACGATCACCCTAGATCAAATGCAATCCTCATTCTTTGTGCCATATTTGTATCTCTACCCTGTTTGCATTTGATTCGTCACAGTATAGTCTCCTTAGAGATATGTTGTACTCATTCTGTTTTAGGTTTCTCTTTTAAGTCTGTATGATGTTGTATTATGTATTTGAAGCTATCCCATTGGTGATAAGAATATCTGTTTATTAAGTTTATATTTATATTATTTTTTGGGTAAAATTCTAATTTGATAATAGCAGTTAAATGAATATCTTCCAATGAATATTCATTATATATACTATCCTAATAGTAATGGGATTGTAATATTTAGCGTTGTGTAGATTTTTTGGGTAAAACCAAAATCGGCGGGCACCCGACTATTTGGTTCTGGTTCTTACCTGAAACCAACCTTGTGAGTAGGGGCGGACCCAGACCCTTTGAGGGTAGGCCTCATAATTAAAAAAAAAAAAAAAAACTTTACTAATATATGGGTCCACAAAATAATGCTATTAATATATATACCTAGACCTATCCTCATATTTTTAAAAAATAAGAATTATTATACATATATTCAGGCCCACAAAAAACTTGTTATTAATATATTTATATTCTAAGCCACATCACATTAAAAGTTTAAAACTCTCTCTATTCTCCATGGCTCTACCTGTTTTTATGATTTTATCCCAAAAATTTTTTACTCTCTCATTCTCTTTCTCATTCTATTCATTCTTAAAACTTTTGAAGACTGAAATTGTTGAAGCTTGCATTACTCAAGATGGATCATGCTTTTTATGTGCATGCAAAAAGACAGAGAAATACCCTTTATATCTGAAATGGTCCATCCAATTGTGAACTTGTGGTCTCTCAACACTCGAATCAATTTCTCTTCCTCCAATTTACTTAAGTCTACATTGATGATCACTAGTAAAGAATTAGATTCACCAAGATACACATACTTGAGATGGTAAGGGCTTCAATTCAAGCTTGGGAGGTTCTTCCAACTTTGCCTTGTCCTTGTCCTTACCATGTCCAAGTCTTCAAATTCTGGATCTTGGATGGTATCCATCAGTTGAAGTGCTTCCAAATACCTAGCACACTTATTTTCTTTGGCTCATCTTCCTCGGTAGTTTTGGAAAGGTAGCTGAGGATTGATTTCTTCAAATGTGTCTTTTACTACTCTATCAACCACATCAACCCCAAAACATGACTCTAATTCTGATGGAAATTTCATGGCTTCAAACACATTAAAAGTTACCATTTCATCTTGGACCCTCAAAATCAATTTTCCTTCCTGTACATTAATTAAACTTCTTCCCATAGTAAGGAACGGTCTTCCTAATAATAGTAGTATCTCTTTGTCTTCCTCCATATCCAATACAACAAAGTCTGCAGGAAAAATGAATTTATCCACTTTGACTAGCACATCTTTAATAATATCCCTTGGATGCTTGATCGATCAATTTGCAACCTGTGAGGAAACCATTGTAGGCTTCACTTCACCAATCCCCCATTTCTTTAAAACAAAAAAAGGCATTAGATTTATGCTAGCACCTAAATCACACAAAACTCTATCAAAAGTAACATCTTTTATAACACAAGGGATAGTGAAACTCCCTAGATCTTTGAGCTTTGGTGGTAACTTCTTCTATAGAATGGCATTGCATTCCTTTGTAGGCATCACTGTTTCTTCCTCTTCCAACTTCCTCTTGTTTGAAAGAATTTCCTTTAGGAATTTAGCATAACTTGGCATCTACTGCAAGGCATCTACAAAAGAAATGTTAACATGCAGTTTTTTTAAAACATCAAGAAATTTAATAAACTAGTTATCGTGATTTTGGTTCCTTAATCTTTGAGGGAAAGGAACTGAAGGAGTGTGATGCACCAACTGTGGTGGTGTTTCAAATAATGGCAATTTTTCTTTCCTTGGCTTCGACATCTTCTCCTTCTTTGGATCTTTTTTTCTTGGACTTGTTGGCTTCTCTTCAACAATAATCTCTTCATCAACTTCTTCCTCGGATTCTTCCTCCCTCTCTGGTGAGTTCTCATCTTTCCTTTTTGGTTCAACTTCTTCTAAGATTGTTCCACTTCTTAAAGTTATGGCATTTGCTTGTTCACGTGGATTTATCAAAATATTAATTACTTGGTAAAGAACCTTGAGCTCTCTTATTCAATTTTTCTGAAATTTGACTCAATTGCACCTCCAAGTTTCGAATGGATGCTCTTTGATTTCTAAAATTTGACCACATCTCATTCATAAAACTTGTGGTGTCTTGAATGAATTTCCTGAACTTATCCTCCAATTTTGATACTTTTTGTTCAACTGGTTGAAAATTCACCCTTGGTTGATGGTTTGGCACTATCCTTTGATTTAATTGATTGTTTCGGTTGCCCCAGGACAAGTTTGGGTGATTTCTCCAACCAAGATTGTAGGTGTTGGAGAACGGATTGCTCTGTTGTCTCTGATTCCCAGCTAAATAGTTGACTTGCTCTGATGATGAGGAGGATGAAGCAAATGTGTTCCCCGCTTGGTAGTCAATGCTTGCATGGTTACTTGCACAAAAATCACATGTTACTTGAGGTGTTTGAATGGAATTAACATGCATACCTCCTATTTGTTTCTGAAATGTGGCAAGTTGGGCTAAAATGGCTATGTAAGCATCAACTTCATGAATACCCATGGACTTCTTCGGCACTATTCTCTCATTTGGTCTTTGGTAGTTGTTATTTGTTAAAACTTCAAGTAACTCTTGAGCTTCCTTTGGTGCCTTGTTCTACAAAGCTCCCCTAACTGTTGCATCTACCATTGTTCGAACATTTGGTAGCAAACCTAAATAGAATGCTTGGACTTGTATCCAAACAGCAAACAATGGTGTGGACACTTCCTCAACAATTTCTTGTATCTCTCTGATGCTTCATATAATGATTATTGGTTGCCTTGTACAAATGAGGTGATGTCATTTCTCATCTTTGTCGAAAGAGTTGGTGGGTACTGCTTATAGAAGAACTTCTATGCTAGATCATTTCCAATTGTGATGGTTCCAACAAGTAATGACATTAGCCATCCTTTTGCCTCATCTCTTAACGTGAATGGAAATAGTCGCAACCTAATAGCATCATCTATCACCCTATTGTCCTTGAATGTGCCATAGATTTCCAAGAAGTTGGCTATGTGCATATTAGTTGTATGATTGTTGAACCATTTGGATTATAGTCAGCTTTATCTCAAAGTTATTCGCATTAACAGGTGGTCTTGTTATGCTCAGACTACAACCATCAACTTGCGAAAGTGAAAACTCTCTCAAGGTTCTATTTTCAACCATCTCAATAACTCGCTCCTCCCTTTCTCTTCTCTCTTTGATGAGTCTTCTCACTGTTCTTTCAATCTCTGGATCAATACGAATCACAGGATGATTTCTTGTTTTTCACATAAACTACAAAGGAAAGAAAAAGAGCATGAGATCACAAGCAAATAAAAATCAAACTAAAATAATTAAAACTGAAAATTAAACTTCAACTTAGCAAAAACTAGAAAACTTCAATAGTAACACAAAATCAATCTCCGACAATGACGCCAAAAACTTGATGCGTGATTTCACAAACATGCATGTGTAGCAAGTGCACTAGTTGCAAGAAATAATAAAATGATGAATAGAGTATCGTTCCTACTAGGATTGAGTGCTAAGTACCGATTAGGAACATTTTCCTAATTTTATAACTAATTGAAGAACACAACAATATTGGATTTGCAGGAGCTACTAAAAACTAAATTAAAACAAAACATTAAACAACTAAAATTATCATAACCAAAGGGTTATAAAAAATAAACGATTACCAATTCAAGAAAAGAGGTTAGGGTTCGATTTCACCAAGTTACTCCAATTCAATCAAATAATCCTATTATCCTCAAATTCACATGCAAGGATTACAAATCGGATTCCTTAGGTTGTAAAATATACCTTCTCAGGCTATATTTCCCTACTTATCCCTATTAAACTTCCGCACCAACAAAATAAAGTTCGATCATTCAAATTCCCTTAAGCGAGTGGAATCCTATAAAGATTTAATAGATCGTGTTCGTCAATCTCTAGTTTTTGCTCAATCTATGGTGTTTATCTCAAGAAGCTAACACATGAATCACTTCTCAGTCTCATCATGCTCAACATTCAATTGAAACGAAAATCCAACCTTCAAACACATTAAGAACAAAGATAAACACTTAATCCATGCAATAGAACCCAAAAACAACAAGATATTATAGATTAAATCATTGTAAACTAGGACTTTAACCCAAAATGAGTTAGTTCATGTTCAAACTGAAAATAGACATGGAATACATAACAAAATCAGAGTTCAACATCATAAAAGAAGAAAGGGAAAAGAAAACTTCTTTAATTTGGAGATCCAAATTCAATCTTCATCTCTTCTCCCTATTTCCTAAAATGTCAACCTCCCTAAAAAATGGGCTAACTTTTCTTTAAATAGTAGCCAAAACCTTAGGACTAAATGCTACAAAAAGAAAATGCATCGTTTTAAAAAAAAAAAAAACATAAAATTGTAGTTTTCGCCACGACGAAGAAAAAATCTTATCCCGGCATCAACTTGAGTTTATCTGCTCTATGATTCCAGAGGATATCCTACCACAACAAAAGAAAACCATGAAGCGGTGAACTTCTAATCTTCTTTGCTGAATTATGGAACTGCCCTTCGCTTGCTTCTTCACTCGAATCTTTGATCTTCTTGATCTCCAATAGGAACAAACTTCGAGGGTGCTTCCAATCAACATCAGAATTTCCCCGATCTTTTGAATTGTGCTTGATTCCAGATCCAGAAACCCATTTTTGCTCTGTTTTGCGCCAACTACATGTTTTAGCCTAAAACATAAAATATGCAGAATTAAGAACAATTCAGGCACAAAATCATAAAAAATATCAAAAATCCTACAAAAATCATATAGGAAAAAGTATAATCCTAGGATTATCAGTAAACAAGCCAGGAGCTCCCATAAAGCTTTATCTTATCTTAATACCTTTCGTGGGTTAGACTTACTACATATAAATATAATGGAACCTATGCAAACTGAGAGCTTAGGAGGTAAGAGATATATGTTTGTTTGTGTTGATGATTTCTCTATATTTGCTTGTGTTGATTTTTTAAAAGAGAAATCTAGTTC